GGCTATAGTCTTTAATTTTCTTCAGTAAGTGCTTCAAGTCCTCTTCGGTTTCAGCAAGCAAGGTTGTGTCATCTGCATATTGCAGGTTGTTACTGAGTCTTCTATCAATCCTGATGCCAAGTTTTTCTTCATATAGTCTAGCTTCTCGAATTATTTGCTCAGCATACAGATTGAATAAGTATGGTGAAATTATATAACTCTGACACACACCTTTTGCTTTAGCTACTCTATGTTCAAAAGCAAGTTTCAGAGTCTATTCTGACATCCATTTTGGTCTTAAACTATGCAGTTCCCCCTTGTTCTGTTCAAAAGACTGCCTCTTGGTCTATATACAAATTCTGCATTAGCACAATTATGTGTTCTAGAATTCCCATTCTTCACAATTTTTATCCACAATTTGTTATCCACACAGTCGAATGCCTTTGCATAGTCAATAAAACACAGGTAAGCATCTTTCTGGTATTCTCTGCTTTCAGCCAAGATCCATCTGACATCAGCAATGATATCCCTGGTTCCATGTTCTCTTCTGAAACCAATTTGACCTGGCAGTTTCCTGTCAATGTACCGCTGCAACCATTTTTGAATCATCTTCAGCAAAATTTTACTTGGTGTGATATTAATGCTATTGCTCAGTAATTCCCCCATTCTGTTGGATCACCTTTCCTTGGAATAGGCACAAATATGGATCTCTTCCAGTTGGTTGGCCAGGTAGCTGTCTTCCAAATTTCTTGGCATAGACAAGTGAGCACCTCCAGCCCTACATCTGTTTGTTGAAAAATCTCAGTTAGCATTCTGTCAATTCCTGAAGACTTGATTTTTGCCAATGCCTTCAGTGCATCTTAGACTTCTTCCTTCAGTACCATTGATTCTTGATCATATGCTACCTCCTGAAATGGTTGAACATCGACCAATTCTTTTTGGTACAGTGACTCTATGTATTCCTTCCATCTGCTTTTGATACTTCCCGCTTCATTCAATATTTTCCTCATAGAACCCTTCAAAACTGCAGCTTGAGGCTTGAAATTTTCTTCAGTTCTTTTGGCTTGAGAAATGCTGAGCATGTTCTTCCCTTTTGGTTTTCTACCTCCAGTCTTTGCACATGTCATTATAATACTTTACTTTGTCTTCTCAAGTCACCATTTGAAATCTTCTGTTCAGCTCTTTTACTTCATCATTTCTTCCACTTGCTTTAGCTACTCTATGTTCAAAAGCAAGTTTCAGAGTCTGTTCTGACGTCCATTTTGGTCTTTTCTTTCTTTCCTGTCTTTTTAATTATCTTTTGCTTTCTTCATGTATGATGTCCTTGATATCATTCCGCAACTCGTCTGGTCTTCGGTCATTAGTGTTCAATGTGTCAAATCAATTCTTGAGATGGTCTATAAATTCAGGTGGGATATACTCAAGGTCTTATTTTGGTTCTCGAGGTCTTGCTTTAATTTTCTTCAGCTTCAACTTGAACTCGCATAGGAGCAATTGATGGTCTGTTCAGAAGTCGGCCCTTGGCCTTGTTCTGACTGACGATATTGAGCTTTCCCATCATCTCTTTCCACAGATGCAGTCAACGTGATTCCTGTATTTTCCCTCCGGTTGAGGTCCACCTTCATAGTCACCATTTATGTTGTTGAAAAAGGGTATTTGCAGTGAATAAGCTGTTGGTCTTGCAAAATTCTATCATGCAGTCTCTGGTGGCCTTTCTATCTCCAAGACCATGTTTTCCAAGTACAGATTCTTCTTCTATTTTTTTTTTTTTAACCAACTTTTGCATTCCAATCACCAGTAATTATCAGTGCATATTGATTGCATGTTTGATCTATTTCAGACTGCAGAAATTAGTAAAAATCTTCAATCTTCATCTTTAGCATTAGTGGTTTGTGTGTAAATTTGAATAATAGTTGTATTAACTGATCTTCCTTGTAGGCGTATGGCTATTTTCCTACCATTGACAGTCTTGTACTTCAGGCTCAATCTTGAAATGTTCTTTTTGAGGATGAATGTGACGCCATTCCTCTTCAATTTATCATTCCTGGCATAGTAGATCATATGATTGAATGAGTTTAGCTGTGTGAAATTAGCAGGTCAGTTTATGCCATTTCCATTTTTAAGGTTATTGAATGTTGTTTCAACTTAGTTTTAATTTTAGAGTCAAGCAAGAAACAAAAGAAAACTAAGCTGATATAGAAATCTAAACCTAGAACTGTCCTTAGTAGATAAACTTGCTCTTATCTCTTTAATCTCCCCTTCCTTATTTGCAGGAGCAGATTACCCAATAGACAAGGTAAGCATGGGCTTACTTATGCTTACTTACTAATCTGTAGTGAATAATTTCACTTTTTTTTTTTTTTTTACCACATAACATGAAATTGTTCACTACAGATTAGTAAATAAGCACGAGTGTAAGCACGGGCTTACTTGTTCTTACTAATCTGTAGTGAACAATTTCATGTTTTTTACCACATAACATGTGAAATTGTTCACTACAGATTAGTAATTAAGCACAAGTAAGTCCATGCTTACCTTCTTACTGGGTCATCCATCCCTGTCAGGTATTGTAAATTTGAAAACAAGCTTTGATTCTGTAGGAAGGTGCTGTGGGGTTGGGAGAGAGACAGATGCCAGTCATACCTAGAAGTAGAATCTTTGGTGTGGTGAAAAAATGTGAAATTGTTCACTACAGATGATCGGGTAAGCAAGGTAAGCACTATGCTTACCTTGCCTATTGGATAATCCACTCCTGCTTATTTGCGCCTCACTTGTCCATTTGATTGACTAGTTATCAGTGAAGACATTACTCCAGGGTCGCCAGCTCCTTCCTGCCTCACAGCTCACTTTCAATCTAAACCAGTTGCCTTTGCCGTGGAGTTGATTCAGACTCATGGAGACCCCATGTGTGTCAGAGTAGAACTATGCTCTGTAGGGTTTTCAATGACTGATTTTTCAAAAGTAGAGTACCAGGCCTTTCTTTCAAGGTGCCTCTGGGTGGACTCCAACCTCCAATCTCTCAGTCAGCAGCTGAGCACTTTAACCATTTGCACCACTCAGGGTCTCCCCCCTCCACCCAGGGACTACCACCCCCATTCCCATCTCTGCGGCTACCTTCCACCTTCCCCACCCCTGTTATGGCATGAGGACTTAAGCACTTCCTCATCTCTATTCTCTTATACTGTCTTATGGGACTGACTTTATTTTATTGCTGTTTGTTTAATCATTTGCACTAATCCCCACTGCTACCCCCTGCCCCAACTAAATTGTAGCTTTTTTCAGAGTGGAGACTGGGCCATATTTATGTTCAAAGCATCAGTGCCTTGCACACATCAGTGCCTGGCCCAATACTTGGCACACAGTAGGTATTTATAAATATTTGTTTAATGAACAAAACCTTGGCATATAAAAAAATTCATTCCCACCTCTACTCCACAGAAAGAAGCCACAGAAAACTGCCCAAATCACCTAAAGTTCTTAGGGCCTTGAATTTGAGTTCATTCACTGGCTACAGTTCAGAACCTTGGCAGCATTTCTTCCCCTGTTGTGTATTGGTTTGATGTGCTTTTTTTTAACTGCTGCACTTTGCAGTTTCCCTAGCCTGTTTTTTTTTCTGGGAAATCAGAGTTAGATCTTTGGGACTAATGGGATGAGACAATGTGCATTCTGCGTATGCCTATTGTTATTTGGTAGTTTAGCTGTGCACAAAACTCTGGATAAGCTGACTTAGAAGATGCAGCGACTCATGTCATTTTCTCTGTAACTAGGGGTGACCGGGAGCACTTCAGGCCAGGAGGAAATTGGTTTCTCACACTCTAGCTCTGTAGCTCCGACTGCAGATGCGTCTGGGCACCATCTGGGCATCCATCAACATGACTGAATTAGTTGCTGCTCCATCTGATATTAATGGCGATGGCGCCTGGCTACAGGAAACCTTCCCTGTTTGGCTGAAAGAGGTTGTGACCTGCTTGCACATGGATTTAATGGGAGCGTGAAAATTTGCATTTGATTATAGCTTCAGGATCACCAGTTAGTGGCACAGTAACATTAACTGGGCAACCTCTTTTAAAACCTAGTGACTGTAAAGCTATCAGCTATTCAAATGTTGGGAACTAGTTTATTATTTATTGGCTCTGTTTCTAACATTCTGAAATCTACCTGGGAAGTAGGCATTTGGATGGAGGGTGGGAAATGGGGGAATATAGGAGGTGCAAGAGAGAGAAGTGATTTGGGAACACAGACATTAGTAACTAAAGGCCACAGACATGCACTGTAGAGAGGATTGGGGTATCCAGAGGCTGTCCTGGACATTTAGGGAATGGGGTGAGTATTGGAGGAGAAGTGTTTAGGGAGAATTCTGAAATGGAGTATAAGCAGGCCCTTAGTACATTTGTGATCTCTTAATCTAGTAGGATGATCTAAAGTGAAATCTGCAGAAGACAGTAGCATTGATGAGTATGAGTGAGATGGATGAAATTATGAGGGCTTGATTTATAACCTTAGAAACCCTATGGGGCAGTTCTATGCTGTCATATAAGATCACTATGAGTAGGAATCAACTCGACGGCACACAACAACAACAACGATTTTTAACACACCCAATTGCCGTCAAGTCAATTCCAACTCATGGTGACCTCATGTGTTACAGACTAGAACTGCTCCATAGGGTTTTCTTGGCTGTAATTTTTACGGAAGTAGATGGCCAGGCCTCTTCTGCAGGGCCACTGGGTGGGTTTGAATAGTCAACCTTTAGGTTAGTAGTCAAGCACAAACCATTTGTGCCACCCAGGGACCTATAGTGAGACATGAAATTGTGAGAGCTTAGTGATTTTTAACATAACATAGCTTTTTTTTAAATTTCAGAAATCATATATATGTAGAATATTTAAGAACACAAAAAGCACAAAGGAACAAACAAATGATAATAGAAGTAATCCTACCCCTAGAGATAATAACCTTCACCATTTGGGGCACACATGCTCTGGTCTTTTGCCTATACATACATTGACACATGTACATACCTTTTTTTAGAATGAAAACTGTATCTAGTTGCAGATACTTTTCATTGTCTGAGTTCGTATATCTTGAAACCTGTTAGTGAGGTGGCTGAGAGCAGTTTTTCTCTCTTTCTGTTTTATACCCATCCTTCACTGCCCGCTTGCAGGGAGGTTGAGCCCACAGAGTCTGATTGTTGTGGACTGATCCTGGGCACCAAGAGGCTTCTTTGTTCACTGACAAGATGCAAAGACTCAGCTTAAAATAATGGCAAGGCTCTGCTAATTTCTACATTATTTTGCATATATTTTCTTTCTGAGTAGAAGAGGCTTTTAGCTAAGCCAGTAAGATAAAACGAAATACATTGATCAATATAATCTACAGACTAACAGTTAGGGCACTCTGTTTATGGAATTAAAGCACTTAATCACAGCCTGGGGTAAGAAAGCCGACTCTGCACATACAGAGGAAAAAAAAAAAAAAAAGCTGAGATATGCCAAAAGAGACATGCATTCATAGTGCATACAAGGCTACCTGCTCTACACCTTCTTCTCCTGTCTCTTCCGCTTCATACTTTTGACGCTGGCCAGTGGGGCATAAGTGATGAGCCTGAATATTTCTCAGTTAGGCTCCACCATTCCATCCCTTCTACCACTGCCTTAATTTGGCCCTTATCTCTCGCGTGGATTACTGTGAAAGCCTCATACCTTGTGTTTCTCCCCCCAATCTTGCTCAGTCTCGTTCATCCTTACCATCTGCAGTTAAATGAACTTTCTAATACACATATCTGTCTGTTCTTGCTATCTGTTGCTCTGTAACAAGCCAACCCAAAACTTAGGAGCAGAAAACAACAACCACTTTATTATTTTTAGAGATTTTGTGGATTCAGGAATTTGGACAGGGCATAGCAGGGCTTGTTTCACTCTGCCCTGTGATACCTAGAGCCTCAGCTAGGATGACTTGAATGGCTGGGGGCTAGAGTAGATGGACCTGGAAGATCTGCTCCTAAAATGCTGGCGCCTGGGTAGGGATGCTGAAGGACGGGCTCAGCTGGGACTGTCGACGACCTGTGTGTGGTTTCTCCAATATCGCGGCCTCAGAGTCATCAGATTTCTTCCACAATGCCTCAGTGCTTCAAGCACTAGTGTTCCTGGGGAGCAAGGTGGATACTTCGTGGCCTTTTATGATCTAGTCTCAGGAGTCACATAGCTTCATTTCCACTATATTCCATTGGTCAAAACAGTCATAAGCTTGCCTCAATTCAAGGGAAGGGAACATAACCCCCACATCTTGCTGGGAGGAATGTCATAAAATGAGTAGCTATGTTTTAAAAACACCCATCTCTATCTATCTATCTATATTTATCTCTTCCATATTTATATAAACATAGAAGACAATTTTGAAGGATACACACCAAACTGTTAAAGTTGAGGAGACTTTCACTTTTATTCTGTACACTTCCAAAGAAGGAAAAACAAAAACGAAACAAAAAACTGGTGGAATTATGGGTGATTAAAATTTTTTTTTTCACAGAAAATTGCTTCCCCTGTTATCTCAAGCCTCTAGAGGCTAAGAATACATGTATGGTAGTCCTAAGTTGGCAGGTAACCTCACGTTCCTAAATGAAGTGCCATACCACCTAGCTATGCAGGACATGCACAGATGTTGTGAAAGGGCTCTGCCAGCATTGGCCCATCACTCACCTTCAGACTATGAAAGAGAGGCTTTCATATGGAAAAATTCTTTGGGAGGTTTAAGAGGCCAGAAGTGAAGGCTTCTTTATAGAGAGTTGTCCTGGTGCTATGTGTTCCACAACCCACCCCTACCCTGCCATGGGAAACACCTCCTCACTTTAAAGTAAGGGGGCTTTCATGTGAACCACTTGGAGATCTTGACATGTGTCCCCTAGAGTTTGGGGGACACAGAGGCTGGTGACGGACTCTCACCAGCAGGTCTACAGGTGAAAGTCTGGCAGCAGAACAAAGAGAGAGAGAACGTACTAGCAGTGAGCTGCACTTCCACTGACTGGTGGGTCATGGAATGGATGGGACCCACTCATGAGTCATCTCAAAAGGGATCCCACCCAAGAAAACCACCTGGCAGAAGGGAACTATAGCCAAGGATGCCTATTACGAGGAGTTTCAAGGTGCAAATGCCACACCAGATGACAACTGTATCAGCCACATAAGGCTTGGCGCTTTGCCCCTAGTCACTCCCCAAGGACCCGGATCAGGAATAAAGCAGCTGGGGTAGAAGAGGAAGAAAGAAAGCTGACTATGCACCCCTTCTCCACTTCAAACTTCCAAGCCTGAGGCAAGCCTAGCTGGAAGGAGGAGAGAAGTTTTACAAAGAATAGAAAATTGAAAGTTTACTATTAGACTTGACAAGACTTTTACAGTACTCATATGAGAGCTTTCTTGTGACTTAATGGGACCAGAAAAGCTAGGGGAGGTGATAAAGATTTCATTCTAGAATGGGTTTTCTAAAGCAGCAAGAGAAAGAAAACAAGTTGCTTCTTGCTAGAATCATAGTATGTCCAGCACATTCAATAAATCTACTATACACTTTTGTGATTTTCTTATTTTCCAAACTTTATTTGGAACACATATTGCTTGTTTAAATGCATACCTAATCATATCACTTCTGTGTTTAAAACTCTTCAATGCCTTTGCATTGCCATCATGATAAAGACAAATTTAAAATATGACTGTTATGGATTGAACTGTGTCCTCCAAAAATATGCATTGTAAATCCTAACCTCTATGCCTGTGTGTATAATTTCATTTGGGAATGGGTCGTCTTTGTTACATTAATGAGACAGGATTCGTGTAGGGTTTATCTTGTGACAGTCTCTTTTGAGATATAAAAGAGATTAAAAGCAAGCTAAGAAGCAGCAATGGGGGAAGAGAGATGCCAAGCCACATGAAGATTGCCCAGGAGCAGAAGCTCAGAAGAGATAAGGACCTTCCTCTACAGCTGGCATCCTGGATTCGGACTTCAAGCCTCCTAAATGTGAGAAAATAAATTTTTGTTTGTTTAAGTAACCCACTTGTGCTATTTCTGCTGTAGCAGCATTAGTTAACTAAGACAATGACTTACAACACTCTTCATGATGTAGTCCCTGCCTACCTCTCTGGCTTCTTTTCCCAGCCCCCTCTCAGCCACCTTCATCCTGTAGTGCAGCCATATGGGCACAAAAGTTCCAAATACAACTTGGTATCCTGTCCCTCTCCTCAGCTCATGTTGTTCTTATGGCCTGGAATATCCCTCACTATCATTTGTCTGAAGAGTTGGCTTCGACCCATGCTTCAATACTCAGCTCACGTACCACCTCTGTAGGCCAACTAATCATCTCTCTCTCCTGCAGCCGGGAAGTTCCTTTCGATTAAACTTGTTGCCATCAAGTCGATTCCAACTCATAGAGACCCTAAAGGACAGAGTAGAACTGCCCCAGAGGGTTTTCAAGGTATGGCTGGTGGATTCGAATTGCCAACCTTTTGGTTAGCAGACGAACACTTAACCACTGCACCACCAGGGCTACCCTTTAGATCGCGGACTGTGCTTTCCAGCCGATATCTCCAGTGCCCGTGACTTGTAACACAGTAGGCTGTCTGCTTCCTATCCTACAAACAAACCATCCAATAAACATACGGTGGTTAGTGCTCAGTCATTGTTTAATAAGCAAGGAAATTCAAGAAAAGCTAAGAAGCAATGTCTTTGATCATATATGACTGAAGATGATCAAAGGTGTTACATTTTTTGTGCCTTCCTGAAGCAAGGCAGAGAGTACCAGGGAAGGTTTTGGGAGGAAGATGGTTCCCCAGTGTTGCTAGAGTGCATCCTGTTGCCAGCTGCAGGCCTGGCCACAGACCTGTCCAGGCAGTAGCCATTTTTACTTGAACTAGGCCTTGAAAGAAAACCCTGGTAGTGTAGTGGTTAAGAGCTATGGCTACTAACCAAAAGGTTGGCAGCTTGAATCCACCAAGCACTCCTTGGAAACCCTATGGGGGCAGTTCTGCTCTGTCATCTAGGGTCTCCATGGAATCACTTGCAGGAGAAGAAACAATCCAGAAGTCACATGTGTTGAAAAAGTTGGATGATACAGAGTTTTGGTAACTGCTAATTTTGTTTCAGAACTTGATGCCACACTTCTATCATACTTTCTGCTTTTCAACCTAATAAAACGCAAATCGCACTTTTTGTTTTCCTTTATTTTGCTTTGTTTTGTTTTTCAGAAGACTGTTATTTCCTTATTAGCTGGTTATTACTTAGTCCCAAATCACCAATGAAGTTGCAGACTTCAGTTCTAACTTGATTTAGACCTGCCTCTTAGGACTTGGTATTATAATGACATGTGCATTTCTCAAGCTGAAAGAACTGAAGAAAAAATTCAAGCCTCGAGTTGCAATAGTGAAGGATTTTGGGGGGAAAATATTAAACAATGCAGGAAGCACCAAAAGAAGATGGAAGGAATACACAGTCATTATACCAAAAAGAATTGGTTGATATTCAACCACTTCAAGAGATAGCATATGATCAGGAGCCGATGGTACTGAAGGAAGAAGTCCAAGCTGCGCTGAAATCATTGGCAAAAAACAAGGCTCCAGGAATTCACAGAATATCAATTGAGATGTTTCAACAAATGGAAGCAGTGCTGGAGGTGCTCACCTGTCTATGCCAAGAAATTTGGAAGACAGCTACTTGGCCAACCAACTGGAAGAGATCCATATTTATGCCTATTCCCAAGAAAGGTGATCCAACCAAATGTGGAAATTATTGAACAACATCATTAATACCACACACAAGTAAAATTTTGCTCAAGATCATTCAAAAGCGGCTGCACAGACTTCCGGCAAAATGGCGCTCTAGGCAGAAGCACCACGCCGTCCCTCCACAGCAAAGATCCAAAAAACTAAGCCGAATGGAGAAAACAACAATCCTGAAACCCTAAAACATCAAATGAAGAGATAAAGAACTCAGCCAAGCACCAAATGGAGTGAGAAAACTGACAGAGAACGGAGAGCTAAGAGAGATTCATGTAGAGGTCCCCTATCAGATAACGCAGTGTGGATCCACCATCTTGGACTCCTATCAGAGACCAGCAAATAGGGGGTAAGACAAAGCAGCTTCACAGAGCTTCCAGCAGAAGACAAAACAACCGGTAATTTGCAATATACACTTTCCCACCCCCTACCCTTCTTCACCCACACTCGACCTCCTCTGCTTCCCGCGGACA